TTTAAACATATCCGAATGGGAGATCAACAGTGATGAAGGCATACTCCTGCTGGCACATAGGTAGCCTAGAAAGTGATGCAACCTGGTACCTGGATACTGGGGCCAGCAACCACATGTGTGGATACAAACATTTATTTTCGGAGCTGAAGGAGATCCAAGGAGGAAATGTATCTTTTGGCGATACATCAAAGGTCGAGGTAAAAGGCAGAGGAAAGGTGAGGTTCATGCAAAAGAACGGGCAAGATGGTGTGATTAAAGACGTGCTCTATGTACCAAGCATGAAGGCAAACATCATCAGCCTGGGACAACTAATGGAGAAGGGGTACACAGCCGACCTTAGAGGTCGCTACATGAATTTGAAGGACAAAAAAGGGTGAAGCATTGCTCTAGTGGAGATGGCCAAAAATAGGATGTACAAGCTGGACTTGAGAAGCGTAAACCATGAGTGCTTGAAAGTCAATCTGACAGACAAATCACTCTTATGGCACATGCGTTTCGGACACTTGAAGTTTGGTGGACTTGCCGAACTGAGCAGAAAAGGCATGGTACATGGTCTTCCCGAGATGGATTTTCCAAAACAATTTTGCGAAGGATGTGTGTTCGGGAAGCATACTCGTAAGAGCTTTCCAAGAAAGGCGAAATACCGAGCTAAAGCCCCGCTGGAGACAGTCCATACCTATATTTGTGGGCCAATCACACCAGAATATTTTAGTTGTCGGAGATACTTTATGACTTTCGTAGATGACTACACCAGGAAGACCTGGATATACTTCCTGAGGGAGAAGTCAGAGGCATTCAATACCTTCAGAAAATTTAAGACACAAGTAGAGAAGGAAACCGGCCTCAAGATAAAAGCTTTGAGGTCGGATAGAGGCGGTGAGTACACATCTGATTTGTTCAAGGAGTTTTGCAGCAATGAAGGAGTCAGAAGGTTCATGACCGCCCCTTATTCACCTCAGCAAAACGGGGTGGCCGAGCGGAAGAATCGAAGTATCATGGACATGGTCAGAACTATGCTTGGGAGCAAGGCTATGCCAAAAGAGTTCTGGGTTGAGGCAGCCCGGTGCGCTGTATATGTACAAAACAGGTGTCCCCATTCGATTCTTGAAGACAAAACTCCTCATGGACTGGTCAAAAACCAACCGTGTCACACTTGAGGGTGTTTGGCAGTGTAGCTTATGCTCATATCCCAAACTAGAAAAGAACCAAACTGGAAGACAAGAGTAAGAAGATGGTAATGATCGGTTATGATGAAAGAACCAAGGGTTATAGATTGTATAACCCAGTTAATAAGAAGATTGAAGTAAGTAGAGATGTAGAAATAAATGAAGCCAGCGGCTGGGACTGGAGCAAGGAAATGGAGATGGAAGTCGAATAGGAGGTGACCGAACTCATCATCCCAGTACCGAGTACTGAAACTCAAGAAACAAACTCAAGTGATGAAGAGGGATATTTCCAACCAGCTGTTCACAGGTACAGAACTTTGGAAGATTTATACGAAAACACTCCAGAGATGCATTTAGTATGTTTGCTCGCCGATAGTGAGAACATTACCTTTGAAGAAGCGCACCAAAACGAGAAGTGGAGAGAGGCAATGGATGAAGAGATAAAGTCAATCAAGAAAAATCAGACTTGGGAGCTTGCTGATCTCCCACGCGATCACAAACCAATTGGAGTAAAATGGATATTCAAAAAGAAATGCAATGCTGAAGGCAAGGTTGAGCGCTATAAGGCTCTCCTAGTGGCAAAAGGATATAGACAGAAGGCAGGGATTGATTATGATGAAGTTTTTGCACCAGTAGTACGAATGGATACAATCTGATTGCTAATTGCTAAGGCTGCCCGGATGAAATGGCTGATCCATCAAATGGATGTAAAATCGGCATTTTTGAATGGACCATTGGAGGAAGAGGTGTGTATGTCGAACAACCGCCTGGGTATGTGGAGGCCGGACAGAAGATGAAAGTATTGAGATTAAAGAAGGCACTATATGGACTGAAGCAGGCACCGAGGGAGTGAAATAAATGCATAGACTCTTACCTGAAAAAGCATGGTTTTGAGCAGTGCTCGTACGAGCACGCCCTATACGTATTAAAGAATAAGACTGGAATAATGTTTGTTGCATTGTATGTAGATGATCCGATCTTTATGGGCAGTGATCAGAAGATAGTGGAGGAATTCAAAAGGAGCATGAAACAAGAATTCGAGATGACTGACCTCGGAATCATGAAATATTTCTTAGGCCTGGAGGTTAGTCAAGGGGAGCATGGAACTTTTGTATCCCAGGAGGGATATGCAAAGGAGATTCTAAAGAAATTTAAAATGGAAGAATGCAAGCCGGTGGCGACTCCAATGGGGACAGGAGCCAAACTATCTAAGTTTGAGGGAGGAGACCGAGTTGATGTCGAGCTCTATAGGAGTCTGGTTGGTAGTCTAAGGTATCTGACGTGTACGAGACCAGACATTGCATACAGTGTTGGGGTTGTGAGTAGATACATGGAAGAACCTCGCCAATCACACTCGAAAGCCATCAAGAGGATTCTAAGATACATTCAAGGAACCAAAATAGTCGGACTGTTTTACCAGAAGACGAACGACACAAGACTGATCGGCTATAGCGATAGTGACTGGTGTGGAGACAAAGATGACCGGAAGAGCACAAGCAGATTTGTTTTCAGCATTGGAAGTTCAGTTTTTAGTTGGTTGTCAAAGAAACAACCAATAGTGACTTTGTCAACCTGTGAGGCTGAGTACGTCGCTGCCTCTCAATGTGTAAGACATGCCGTATGGCTAAGAAGACTTCTGAGCGAATTAATGCTCGGCGAAGCAGCACCAACTAAGATTCTTGTGGATAACAAATCTGCTATAGAATTAGCCAAGAACCCAGTTCATCACGAAAGAAGTGATACGTTCGTAATTTCCATATTTATGTTTATGTTTTTAATTAGTTTTGCTTGACCTTTACTTTGGAAATTACACACTTTTGGTGTAACAGATTAGATTGTTAAATTCTTGTAAATAGGTTAGATTAGATATATTCTGAGCTCAAACAGGTATTGATCACTCGAAGTACAGTTGGTGAACCCAAAAAGTGGAAAGAAGGTGCAAAAGTTCAAAGACAAAAGAAGATCCTGAATTTTGGTCTATACTCGGTCGAGTATTAGCTATACTCGATCGGGTATTAGGTTGGAACTTCAAATCGGATCAGATCCGAAGACAAGGGAACATGCCAGGAAGATTTCGGCCACGATTTTATGTCTATACCCGATCGGATAGACCAACATACCCGATCGGGTATGCCTTTGAATTTCAAACGAAGATCGGTCGAGTATGGGCCGAATACCATTTTCTAAGCATACTCGACCGGGCATTCATATATACTCGATCGGGTATACTCTTAGAAAATACCCTGAAACCGGTCGAGTATACCTCGGATCGAGTGTTACACACGTACTCGATCGGGTACCATGTATATACCTGATCGAGTACCCGAATCCCATCCCAAAAGCCTATAAATACACCTCCTTTCCTTCACAAAAAGGGATCCAATTCCTTTGTACATCTAAGCTCAGTATAGAATAGCTCTTTCTTTATATTTTTCATCATGTTTAGTCTCCAAATGAGGAGCTAAACTCTTCCATCTTGGTTTTGCTACTTTGAAGCTTAATGAATTTGTAAGTTGTGAGTTATTTTCTTTAATCTTCTTCCTTGAATATTAATTCTTCCTTTCAAATACTATCCCTATATCAAAGTTGGGGAGTGTTACTAAGATGACAATTAGTTAACATCTTGACATTGGTTATAGTAATAGCTATTTCTTCCTCTATGTTAATATTGGGGAGTGTTACTAAGATGACAATTAGTTAACATCTTTATATCAATCACAGTAGGATTCATTTTCTTTAATATTCTTCCTTGAGTATTAATTGATTCCCATTCATATTTCATGTTAATATCTTAAACATTACTTAAAGTATCAACTAGTATTGTTCCTCATATTAATTATTACTAGAATCGATCGGTTAATACGCTTGTTATTAATCCGGTTCTTTCAACGGTAGTAAACTTGGAATATTAATGCATGCATCTCATGGTTAATATGCCAAGGGGAATTAATCATATTGATTAAACCAATAAACCGCTTGTGTTGAGGTTATCAATCTCAATCGTTTTCATCTTAAGTTTATTGCTACTATCAAGTTAATATACGGCGCTTGTTCTATATTGACTCGATAGTAAGTTTTATTAATGAACGCATCTCGTTATTAATAACTACCCTCGATGAACTGGATATACTCCTCGATTGAGTATTCGAGAGGAAGATAGTTAAAGATATAACCGGGATCGACGAACATTTCATTAAATGGATAAAAGCAAAACCAAGTCCTCATCTCATTGAATTAAACTCATATAGGTTGTTTATCTTAGTGTTTTTTTTAAAGCAAACAAATCTAAACCCCCCTTTTTGTTACTATTCATTTAAAAGAAAAGTATTCCTTTCCCTGTGGATACGAACCTTACTACACTATACTACGTATTAGTGTTGTATTGTATTTATTTTGAGTGCACCTAACGACAAGTGCACGTCAAGAAGTAAGCACATTGATGTGCGATTCCATTTTATAAGAGAGCAGATAAAACGAGGAGAAGTCGAGCTGGACCATGTGACGAGCAGAGAACAGAAAGCAGACATATTCACCAAGCCTCTATCAAACCCGATGTTTGATTACTGCAAGCGTGAGCTTGGCATGAAGGACAAGAGGGAATTAAAACTAAGGGAGGAATTTGTTGGAAAATAGTTTTAATTCAAATAAATGTGGGAAACTATAGAGTTGCTAGATACATGAAAAGACTTCCTAGAAACTTCCTATTAATGATGTTTCAATGTCTATTATATAAAAAGGCATCTCGTGCAATTCAATAGCTGGTTCTTGGACAGAATATGATTCCCTTCTTATACTACAGCACATAGTGTGCGTGAGTGTGTGTTATTGTGTCTGGTTTCCTAACAATGGGTACCATAGAATCTACCTAGTTTTTATATTTGATACGTTGAACAATGCTTTGATTTGATGATGACGAAAGAATGATCATTTGCGCACTTCAAGTACATGAATCTGACTTTGTCTATAAGCCCCAAAGCTTCATGGCCATCCACAATTATAGTTGTGGCATCGGCGACGGCTGCATGGGGGTTAGGGTTGCGAATTAATCAACTCACATAACTAATTTCCTTCCTCCATACCATCAAGCTAATTAAGGACGAACCAAGACTAAAAGTATCGGTGGTCTGATCAAATTAAGACGTAACAATGTCGATTTTAATGAGCTAACGGATCACAGCATATTTGACCTAGCTACCTAGCAGTTCAATTATACTATATTTAGCTCCTTATAATGTGTGTATTCATTATTCCTTCGTAAACAACGGCGGGCCTGCCGGGGACGTTGCCGACGTTGCTGAGATGACGCCAGCTGCAAGAGACAACATCAGAATCGCGATGGTGGTCTCTGCTCACATCCATTAACCTCAAATCCTTCCGCCGGTCGTGCGATCCAGTAGTAGAAAAGCAACCCTTTTTCTGTGCTTGCTCGTGATGATGATGATGATGATCAGACGTGTTCATCATTGTCTCCGATGCTGCTACCACACTGCCACTGCCCTTTACTGTAGTAGCGGCGTCGTACACCCTTCTTTCCTCTTTTCTGTATCGTATTCCGCACGCGTTACATAATGACTGCAAATATTAACTTAACGTTAGATCCTCCCTATTCATACTTAACCAAATATTTATTAATTAAAATCTGTATAATCATAAACAAGATTAAATTTCAATAAAATTGCAGAATCCGTATTAGAATATAATTCAAATTGATATTGATATCATAGCTAAATGAATAAAATGAAACTCAGACCGAAAAAATTTGAGTTTACAAATCAATTTGGCACAGAGAGTAAAAAAAATTATATATTACGTCTGTGCCAAAAAACTTTGTCATTTCATAATATTTGGGTCATTATTTTGATTATTATAATATTATGAAAGTTGTAAATTTTATACTTTTATGAAATGACTTTTAACAAAGAACATTTTCATACTCCGTATAATTTTTATATTATAAATAACTTCCAAAAAAAATATACTTCCTCCAAGTTTTTTTTAATTGCAACGGTCTACGGTCTACTTTTCACGTTTGCCAACGCACATGTTTGACATTTAATATCTTTCATTTCTTTTTAGTAAAAAATTAAAAATTTAAATTTTGAAAATTTAAAATGAGAGTAATTTAATAATATTTTTTAAAAATTTAATTTATATTACATTAATAAATAAAATACAGTCAAAATAAACATCTAAATCGTGTAAAATTAAAAGTGCAATGTTGCATTTAAAAGAGAATAGAGGAAGTATAGTTTATCAAAGTTTTGTAAAAAAAGACATTTTTTTTGGGATAGAGGTAATACTTAACATCAAAATAAAAATTGTGTCACATTCGAGTACTTATAACATAATAATTCAACACTTATAACATACTCCCTCCGTCCTTTAAAACTTTGTCATCTTTTCTTTATGGAACGTCCCCAAAAACTTTGTCACTTTCCCTTTTAATCAATCATTTTGTCATTTATGTTGTTTCTTTGTCCTCGTCATAAATTTCAACGATACAGTTTTTATTTTATTATTCTCCGTACCGTTTAACTTTGACAAAGTTTTAAGGGACGGAATTGATGATTTTTTAAATTTTGGGTGGTGACGCCTAATAAAGCCCCAACTGCGCCAGTGCTAGATGACGGTTGATTGAGGGCGGCGGTCACCATGAGATAAACGGCTGAGATTTCGATAACGTTCGTGAGTCGTACGTACCTTAGGGCCGCGAGGACCGTTTCGCCAAAGCGGGGTAGAAGTGGTGCGGCATTTAGTACAGCGACGAGGAACAACATTACTGTCGGGGAGTTTGTGGACGAAATTGATGGTCGGACGGCGGTTCAGCGGCTGAGACGGCGGCGAAAATACGTCCCATACAAAATGCGGCATGCTGCGGCGGCGTGGAGGAGTTGAAGAAGGCGTTGCCAAAGAAAGGGTGCAATCCACAGCGGGGGAAACGACGGCGTTGCCTACAGCTTCGTGTCCGTTATTGTTATTATTACTGATATAAATTGACATGGAAAGAGGAGTAGGAGTGGGAGGGCAAGAACCTGGGCCGCCGTAAATGCTTCCATGGCGGCAGCTTAGCATCGTCGATCTTTTAAGAAATTACTCCGGCCGTATTATGTATATCAAGCTGTTATATTGTTGGGTAGTCAAGATGACAAATGTAGCTAGTCGCTGAGGAAGATAATTTGATCGAGTTTATGGTGGGTGTATCATTGCATAGGGGAATGCGATTAGACAAATCCAAAAAGTGGAATTTCACACATAATTGTTCATACCGGAGTAACCGGACTCGAGTGAAAGAAATGGTAAAAAGACGGGTTTAATGCACAAAACACTTTCTTATGAAATATAAATTTAAGGTATTAGGCCTCTATAATGGTATAAGTAACGTTGTCAAAATCCAAAATTATACGGGAATAAAAAACTATTCATGTTTCATTTTTTTTTTAAATTAAACTTGTTCATATAATCATACAAGGGGTTTTGCGCATGAATTGTTGGGTGAATTCAGAATAACACGGAAATTAATTAATTAAATTAATTAAAATGGCCAATGAAAAAAAAACAGAAAAGTCAAAACTTGTGCAACGCACAATATCCTTATTAAAACGTATTTGTTGCCTCTCACGGTGTTAGAAGCGTTGCAACGATAGTTTTCTCAAGATACAGGGGCCAATGAGCAATCGTTTAAGCACACAAACAACTGTTTCAGCGAACACAAACCAAGCTGTAACACTAAGGAAGTTTTTTGGAAATTGGAGGCGATTTAAGCTCAAAACTACGTGAACACCGTGTAAGTTCAATTCGTGTATATTCGTGTTCGTAGGTCGCCTCGCGCACCCAAGTCGCGGGTTTTTTTCTCTGTTTTCAGGATTTGATCGGCACCCCTGCGTGAAGAAAGCTTTTTCACCTAGGCATCTTAACTCCTTTAAAAAGGGTCACCTTTATAAAGGGGTAAAATCCCTTGGATTTTCCAGTATGGCAAAAAACCACACTACAAATCATCTTTTTCTTAGTTTTTCCATTTCAACGAGTGAAACTTCGAGAATCAATTTCTCATTCACCCGTTATCCGTTTTAAGTGTATCAAATATCAAATTGTAGCCTTTAATAAGGGAGATCGTAACCCACTTTGACCCGACCCAAATCGGAAGTGGACCCCACTCAAATTACAGCTTCAAATTGACCATTTAATGCAATTTTAACACATTTTTCCGACATAAATAACCACAACACAGGAGGGTTTAACGCATTTGTTAAATCACAGGCTAATGCGCCAAATATATTTCACGAGAAGGTTTGATGCATTAAACAACTAAAACAGGGTATAAACTTTAATAATTTCTTAATATATGAGATGGCTCAGTTTGATGTACATGAAAACGAGCTATGATACAAAATTCTTATGCTCAGCCCAAAAGGTGGATTTGTCCGCCCCAGGTGCCTCATACTCCGATCCGATAGAGTGGTGGAGAAATAAATCACAGTAAGATCTCAAACATTTTCTGAGTCACCATATTCATAAAAGCTTTATATTAACGTTATCGGGAATTGAATATGAGATCTTAACCCAATTGTCTTATTCAACTATTGTTGTTGAACTACACGTGCAGATACACCATTCTTATACGGAGTACTACCTTTAGAAATTGAATACAAAACCCCAAATATTACTCTATTTCTTATATACAGCGCTCTATGCGGGTGCATTTAGGGGCAGATCCAGCTTGGAGGCAGCGGGGGCAGCTGTCCCCACTCAACCCCCACCCGACTCTTATATATATATCAAATTTAAAATAATAAATTTAAAAGCGGGGGTTTCCTCATGCGTCAGTTTTAGCATGGTAGTAGATGGGTCTAGGTTCAATTTTCAACTTCGGTTATTTTTTATTTTGTTTTAGTTTTGTCTTTTTAAGCTCTAAAGTGATTTAAAAGTGGCTTTATATAATTTTATTCAAATTTTAGCTTGATCAAACTACTTCAATAATTTAACTTTTCACACATAATTTGTGATTCGTAGAGTTTAATACTTATTACCTCCTTTCTATACAAATGTTCATCTTCAATATTTTCTGGTCAACGTAATGTTTTCTTAATCTCTAACTTTATATATCTAATTTTTATCAAATATGAGTTTTCTTTTTTGCGATTTCATAAAACTTTTTATGTAGAGTCTGAATATATAATTTTTTACTAAAGAAAATCTAATTATACATAGGGATCAGTTTAGTTTATCGTCAGTGAAACATCATAAACGGTAAGAACCTTTGTACGGGATAGAGGGAGTACATTGTTGCGTGTAACATGTATGGAGTACTCATTTTTAATAAACTTGTGAATTCGCAACTTAATTAAATTAATTTTAAATAATATTTGATTAATCCCTTATTTGATTTTTAGTGTTAACATAATTTTGAATACATTATAAACTATGTGATTAAATTTTTTAGTAAGATTAAATTTTATTTTCCATGAATTTTTTAATTATGATATCATTATATTTTGTCCCAGAAATATTTTATTTTTTATACTCCCTCCGTCCCATAATTAACTTCGGTTTTGACTGGGCACGGGGATTAAGATAGTGGGATTTGTGTGGTGGAGAGTTGTGCAGAGGAGAGAGAAATGTGTAAGAATGATTGTGAACCACATATTCTTTATCAAAAAATGAAAGAGGAGATAAATTTGGGACGGACCGAAAAGGAAAGAATGAAGATAATTTCGGGACGGAGGGAGTAATTGAATTTATAATATTTTGTAATGTGATTATTGTTTATGAGATGCAAGAAATAATGCATGTGAGGCGAAAATTCCTCTATAGTCATTGGGTGCATTAGAGGAGATGGGATGGTGGGATGATGGTCATAAAATGGCGAAATAAGAGTCAGCAGGTGCAGAAGCCCCCCATGTTGTGGATCGCCAAAGGACAGCTTAACGTCATTTCACTTGTTTTTTGTTTCTTGAAATGTTATTTTATTCTTCAAAGTAGTTGAGAGCGTATCTAGGCTTAACTTGAAACCTATACTCCCTGGCTACTTTTAAACCCAATCAGTAAAATGGCTTTGCATTTAGAGCTACTTGCTCATAAATAATCACTAAAAATGTACTCTCTTCGGTTCTCAAACAACTTCTCACTTTCCTTTTAGGGAAGTTCCGAAAATGACTTCACACTTCTTCTTATTTTCTCATTTGGCAAATTTTCTACACCAAAATAGTGCAAAACAGTGCCAAACAGTATCCAAACAGTGCAATCCATAGTAAAGTTAAGTTTATTTTCTTAATCTGTGTGAAGTCAAACTGTGAAGCTCTTTGAGAACCGGAGGGAATAACTCATTTTTGAGAAGACTCCTTCTTGTTGTACTTATTTTTGTACACGTATTTGTATTGACTCCCTAATGTTGTCTCTACACACAGACAAACACAGACAAAGTGATATCTTCTTTTTAAGGAATTGCCTATGTGCACGGGAAAAATAGGGGGGTGGATACAAAAGTGGGTACATACAGATTTTTTGTTTTGAAAAATCTTCTGAAAGTAGTAGTTTCATGTTTTTTTCTTTTTTCTTCCATATATTTTTGGCGAAGTATTTGTCTCACACTAAAAAACTAAAAAAACAATAAAACATATAAGAATGTTACTTTTTCTATCATGTTGACATTTTAGGATAGAACTTTAGGTCTTAACATGATATCAGTGCTAAGTTAGGTCATGACTTGATAGCTCTTTTAACACCCATGATTAAGAGTAGCTTGTGAAGAGTCAGTTTCACACATTTATACACCCTCATATTGTTTAGCCTAGTTTGGACTGAGGGGGCGTGTTAAAATATTTGTCCCACACAGGAAAATTATAAAAATAATAAAACACTATATAAGACTTTGGAATACTCCTCTTATCATGCTGACCTTTTAGGATAGACCCCAGTTCTTAAGAATTTTTCTTTTTAAATTATATACGTATGATTAAAATAAAGATTATTATAAAAATGTTATTAGTGACTAAAGTAGTAACGGAATCATAATATTTTATGTTCAATTCTTAAACTCAAATTATCATGATACTACATTGTAGTAAGTATTAGTCATATTTTTGAAAATATGTTTTATTTTAATAATGTTTTTGAAAAAAAACTCTCTCTTGTTTTTATCCTTTCACACTTCTTTATTTCTTATTTTTTCTTTCGGTTTTTATTTCTTTTCCATACTTATGTATTCTATTTCCCACTTCATTATGAGAGTTTTTTGTAAGATTGCATTCTTAGATATTTTTTTTTTCCATTTACTTCCTTTTCCCATATTTTTAATTCATATCCCTTTTCATGTGTTAAATATATCTCTTCTTAATCAGTCCCATTTTATAAAAGGTATTTTTCCCACTCTTTTAAGGAAAACTTGTAGTGAGAGAAATGGAAAAACGATATACCAGACTATTTTGAAAAGATCAGTGAAAAGGAGAGATTAATTATGTAAGGTTTTCAAAGAAAAATGAAAAAACTCGTATACCATGTCATCCATCGTTACCAACTATAGAACATAGAGTGCAAATGTAGGATTATTTTATCTAGAATCAAATACAAGTGAAATTATTCTGAGAAGATTGGTAAGGTTGGATTATTATTATAGCAAAAATATTTTAAATATCCCAAACTTTGAATAAGTGTGAAATAAGCACTACAAACTTAAACATATAATACATATATACCCAAAAAAATCGAGGTAAGGGTTAGATTGGTCCTCGAAATTGCATAAAAAGTGTCAAATAAGTCCTTACTGTCCACCCGTCGCCATTTGGAGAGGTTCCCAGTGGAATTTTTTGATGAAGATTTTTGAAAATTTTATTCATTAAGTCTATCTTACTCATACCAAATTTAAGCTAACAATTCAATCGGGAAGGCATTCAAATGAATTCTTGAAGGTAACTGCGCTTTTAAATGCGCAGTTATCTTCAAAACTTCATTTGAATGTCTTACCGATTAAAGTTTTAGCTGAAATTGGGTATGAGTAAACTAGACTTAATGAATAAGATGCTCAAAAAATTTCATCAAAAATTCCAAAGGGAACCGTCCTGAATGGTGACGGCCGAACAGAGCCTCCTATATAAGGACTTATTTGACCCTTTTTATGCAACTACGAGGACCAATCTGACCCTTACCTCCCCAAAACTTATATAAAAAGTTATGTTAGTTAGAACAATGATCATTTTTCACAAAATATTTATGAGGATGCAATTAAAATTAAATTGTACCGGATGTAATATTACTTATTTCATAAATATAATTTTAGAATGATAACTGAATTCTAACAAAGCATAAAGTAATTTAAACTATGTTATTATTTCCATCATATATATTACATTTGCAAGTTTGGGTACTTATCTCAAATCTATTAATTAAATTTTGGGGTATTTAAATTATTTCCCCTCATTATTATAAATTTTTTCTTTCAAATTTTACTTTCATTTATTTTTGAAAACACAATATGTAGTTCATGTCATTTTT